AGCTTCTCAAGTCAGGAAAATTGTTATGTCTTGTAATGCGAGGCCAATGGCGATTTACTTAGACCCATTGTGATTGGCTTTCTCCAAGCTCCAATGTTCTGCTAATGTATTGATTTGAGTCCATAATATCTCAAGTTAACTTTGAACTTTTGTTTTCTTTTTATTGCCAAATATGTGAAATGTCACGGGCTTGGTGTTTTTGGTTGCAATTTACGTGAAGATGGGGAGAGGATGGTGAGACTCGAGACGAGCATAGCGCTAAGAGAAGAGTCGCTCCGACCAATTGGGTCGGCCATGCCATTGGCCTATTTTGACAAAGCCATCAAACTCCATGCTCGGTCTGGGTCTAAACTTCATAGAAGCTGGCAGTCTTCTTAATCCAAGTATCATCACCTTATTCAACTCCTTTTCACTCTAACTAATCTCCATTATACACATAAAAGTTCAAGTCCATGTCTGTAGGGTAAAGCCTCACCATACGGCGATGTGCACGAATCCCTAAATTGCTTTGAGTGAAAAACACGGTAATCTTAATACAAGGTTTGCGAACATTCAAATCAAAGCGCTTAACTACTCACTCTTCGAGGCCGTGTTGCCTCCTTTGCAACCATAAAAGCAATATGAACTTCGGGATTGCATACCAATGTATGATCGGAAACCAAGTTAAAGAGGAAAACTTGCAAAACCTCATAAATTAAAGACATGGAAAGTACAAACTATTTCTTCGACAGTAACTCGAGAATTCAAATATCCAGAGAATACAACTTTAACGAAGAAGTATACTTAAACCAACAGCACAAATTAATCGACTAGGAAAGAAACCTCAATGGATGCCTAGATTTGGAGAAGCCAGAGTCTCCAGAATCTGAAAAAAGAACACCGAAACACCAGATCATGAGAATTGAACCTTGTTTGTATTAACAGAATAAACAGGCCAAGATGATTTCTGGTAATGCAAAAGCGTTCGATAAAACCAAAGAAAAATTACTTAAATTAAGCGTTTGATGCTACAGAAGCACCCACTGTATATCACAACCGTAAATTGTTCAGACAACTTAATCATAAATCACGTGCTTCATTAAGGATAACAATTCACGAGCTTGTGAGTTTTCTTACCAGAGTAGAGTGATGATGTCAGGCATGCAGCTTAGGGTGTCTCCGAGGATCATCCAATCGCCGCCACCCTCGCCGTCAGTCGATGCCTCCGGGCATCCAGCTCAGGGTGACAATTGATGTTTCGCACTCTTGTTCCTGTTCCATGTATCAGAGTGTTCCACGATTGTAGCAACAAATATCATGAAATACCTAATTAAGCTCATTGATCATGTGGAGACATGAGTTAGAACAGGAATAAGTGGCCAAATTGTGAGATTGTTTGCGCTTTGTGGTGGATGGTACTAAAGGTAAAGGAAAGCCCCAGGTATTGCGAGGGACGAAATCACTCAATCATTTGCTCACTTGGCCCATCCTGATAGAGAGAAAAGTGTTTGGAAGGAAATACTGGATAACGATGAGGGGTGAAATGATAGTTTATTTCAATATGCTTGGTGCATTCATAGAGAATATCATTATATACTCTGATATTATGTTATAAATTCTAGCCTAAAGTTTAAGTTGAGAGGTGGAGGAAAGCCACATGAATATAAAAAGCATATAGGACCCGTTATCAAGCAATGTGGGATAATGTTTCGACGTCCCATCTCATGTGCAAGTTGGATTAGGAGCGACATGTGAACCTATCAAATATCTATTTGAATAACCCAAATTTAGCCATTTGTCATTTATTGACTTGAACACACCTCTCTCTCTCTCTCTCTCAATATAGTATTTTTTAACCTCAATGTCATCATTACTTTTAACCTTAATTAAAAAAGTTTATCCCTTTGTAACTCTTATATAGTCTTCAATGTTCATTCCCTCTTGATCGTATGCATCCATTACAAGTATTCAAGTTTTAGAAAGGACGCTTCAACTCATTCTTGTAAAGAAAAGAGAGTCCCAAGTCACTTTCCTCTTCTCTTTCTTTTTCCACTCTTTTGAAGTTGAGGCGAAGGTCATATGTTTGTTGTTAAAGCTTCTAATTCGATATTTCAAGTGTTTATGAGGTGAATTATTGGACTTCCTTTTTCTCTTGGGAAAATTCTGATTAAGGACCCCAAGTGGGACCTTTTTCTCAAAAGAGGACCCCAAATGAACATAGTGTCAAATAAGGGCCTGAAGTGCCCAATCAGTCTCAAATAGGGGCTCGAAGTGCCCAATTAGTCTCAAGTAAGGACCTGGGTTCGTCGGCCGGTCAAATGCTCGCCGGCCGGCGAGCACGGTTACTATTCCGGCAACCGGAAAAGGGCACTTTCGTCTTTTTCTTTCTTTTTTTTTTTCTTTTTTCTGTTTTTTTTTCTTTCCTTTTCTGTTTTTTTTCTTCTCTTCCCCAATGGCCGGCGACTTGCGCCGGCCATAGCCGGGGCCGGCGGAGGTCGCCGACCTCAGGTGGAGCCCGTCCTTGCCGGCGTCGGGCCAGGGTGGCCCTCGCCTGGGCTGGGCGGGCGAAGGAGACCCTCGCCGGCGTCGGGCAAGGCGGCCTCGCCCGCCGGCCCGGGCCGAGGGCCGCCCTCGCCGGATCCGGCGGGGCGAGGCGGGCGACCTCGCCCTGCTTGAATCGGGCGAAGGTCGCGTCGCCCGTTCCCGGCCGAGGGGCCGCTCCGACGACGGTGAGGGCGAGGCGACCTCGCCGATCCGGCAAGGGCGAGGGTCGCCTCGCCCTGACGCCGGCGAGGGCGACCTCGATCGGGCCGGGCGGGCGAGGGAGATCCTCGCCAGCATCGGGGCGAGGGCGGCCCTCGCCCGCCCAGCCCCAATCGAGGGCCGCCCCGCCCGCCCAGCTGTGCGAGGGCCGCCCTCACCCGACACCGGCGAGGGCGAGCTCCGCCTGAGGTCGGTGACCTGCGCCGGTCCCGGCTATGGCCGGCGACCTGCGCCGGCCATTGGGGAAGAGAAGAAAAAACAACAGAAAAGGAAAAGGAACGGAAAAAAAAAACCGAAAAAAGCAAAAAAAAAAGAAAGAAAAAGACGAAATCGCCCTTTTCCTGGCCGCCGAACAAGAACTGTCCCCGCCGGACCGGCGAGCATTTGACCGGCCGACAACCCGTGTCCTTACTTGAGACTAATTGGGTACTCCGGGCCCCTATTTGAGACTGATTGGGCACTTCAGGCCCTTATTTGACACTATGTTCACTTGGGGTCCTCTTTTGAGAAAAATGCCCCATTTGGGGTCCTTAATCAGAATTTTCCCTTTTTCTCTTATCAAATTAGTTTTGTTGTTTAAAAAGATTGAGAGTTGTTGATTGTTATTCTTGACTATCTTTCTTTGAAGGTGATTAAAGCTTTGAGTTGCTCATGCCTTTTATTCAAGGTAAGTGAAATTATAGCACTACAAAAAAACAAGGGTTTTGCCACGAAAAATTTGGCAAAATTCGTGGCAAAATGAATTTGCGACGAAATTAGCGACAGAAAAAAAATTCGTCGCTAATAGGCCGTCGCAGAATTTTGCCACGGAAAATTTCAATTTTCGTGGCTAATTTGTGACGAAAAAAATTCGTCGCAAAAATCGTCGTTAATTATTCGTGGCAAATTTGCGACGAAAAATAATTTGTCGCAAAATTCATCGCTAATTATTCGTGGCAAAATTCATGGCTAATTTGCCACGAATAGTGTTCGTGGCAAAATTCGTGGCTAATTTGCCACGAACATTATTCGTGGCAAAATTCGTGGTTAATTTGCCACGAACATTATTCGTGGCAAAATTTGTCGCTAATTACTCATGGAAAAATTCGTCACTAAATATTCGTGGCAAAATTCGTCGCTAATTTCCCACGAGCTGTGTTCGTGGCAAAAGTCGTCGCTATTATTTTGAAATTTTTTTTTGTTGGTCACGAAATTGCGACGAAATATTTTCGTGGCAAAAATCGTCGGTAAATATCCGTGACAAAATTTATCACTAATTTGCGACGAACACATTTCGTGGCTAATTTGCGAAATTTTTTTTTTTAAAGTTTTTTGCGACGAATTTATTCGTGGCAAAATTCGTGAGTAATTTGCCACGAACACATTTCGTGGCAAAATTCGTGGCTAATTTGCCACCAAATTTTTTTTTTGCAATTATTTGTGACGAACTTATTCGTGGCAAAATTCGTGGGTAATTTGCCACGAACATATTTAGTGGAAAAATTCGTGGCTAATTTGCCACCAAATTTTTTTTTCAGTTTTTTGCGACGAACTTATTCGTGGCAAAATTCGTAGGTAATTTGCAACCAAAATTTTTTTTTGGTCAGTATTTTGCCACGAAAAATTTTGACTTTTGCCACGAACATTATTCCGAAACGAATTTGGCGACGAATTTTAATGAATAATTTAGCGACGAATGTTGTTTAGGGACGATTTCGATTTGAAATCTAATTAACAGCAATTATAGAGTATATATTTAACATTGATAGAAAATCACAGTCAAGACAAGAACAAACCCCAAAAAGAAAGAAATGGAACAAAGCACTAAATTAGCCAGTTCACTCTCTTGTGGCAAACTGTTGATCTTGCTAAGAAGTTCTTTCACATAGTTTATAGTGTTCTCCAAGAATCGAAGTCCTGTCCATCTGCAGCGCAAACATCACAATATCAAACTCCTAACCCCTCTTAATTTTTTCACATCTATTCAACAGCAGGAGCATAAAGATATAAGTACCTCTTGGAAATTTTAACTAGCAAGGATCATCAGCAATCTCATTATCATCATCATTGTGCCCATCACCTACTGGATTAGTGGGAGGTACAGGAGGAACGTCATCGTGATCGAGGTTGAGGTGTTGCATGATCAATTGCAAATGTTGTTTCACTCCTCTTATTTCTTCGTCCTTCTGTACAAGTAAATGTTTTAGGTGGTTCAATTCTTGGGTCGTTCGCTCCTCGTGTTGTGCCCTTAAAAAAGCCGCATTGGAGGATGGAGTTGCAGCAGCCGGCGTTCTCTATATCCTTGACAAGGATCCCATCCCAAATATTTGACCTCTTCGCATTCCACTCGATGCCTCCACCCATAATGCCATACTGTCAACCGATGGCTTGAACGCAGCAACACCATCACCATCACCATCACCATCACCACTAGCAGCAGTGCTCATTACAAGTTCATCATATTTGTCATACATTAACAATATAGATGAAAATAAAAAAACTTCATATATATAAATACAAAATATAACCTTACATACCTTAATAGCTTTTGCTCGATTGCCAGTCCATGTCTTATCTTTTTTCTGAAATGTGCGTTCAAATGTAGCTATAAATGTCGGTTCCGTCCCCAATTCATTTGCCTACAAAATATAAACATAAATGAGTAATTATCGATTTAACTTACAACATATTTAAAAGACTTACCATTCTTTTTCTATGCTCCCCGATGTTGATAGAGCCCCCAGCATATGTGGCAGACCCTTCACTAGAACTAGAAGCTCGATTCTTCTTATTTATTTCACTGATTTGCTTATGCTTTTCGGTGTCCCAAGTTCTCTTAATTTCCGCCCAATTGTCAGCTGTAATAAAATCCGGCTTTTCTTGACTTCTCTTTGCTCTATTCATCACATTTCGCATGTGATCACCGGTTTTCTTCTTAAAAATTCTTCTAACTTCTTTCTCTTCCGCTTCATCCCACCTGAACTTCCGCTGCAAGCAATCAATAGAAAAACAATTGTACACTCAGTATGCTAAACCGAACTTAGTTTGTGAGGAAATAGAAGGACAAAACTTACCTTGAACTCATTCCACCACAATTCCTTTACTTCTTTTGGAGCGATGGTCCAACTACTATACTGCCCCATCCAACAGTTATTGATTATTTTATTAAGTCTCTTCACAACATACGTAGCATCCGTGAATCTGCAAACGGTTATAACGATGTCAACATACGTAGCATCCGTGAAGCATACGGACAATTCAGTTGACATCCATAATAATTTACATATACTTAAAAAAATGAAGTACTTACGAGTCTCCAAATGGGGCTATCATGAATCGGTTATCTTCTTCATCATTCGAGTGTTGTTGTATTGAAGAAGAAGGTGGAACCGAAGGCGATGGAACTGAAGTAAATTCAGTTCGCATTTGAGGGTCGGAGGAAGGGCCAATGTGTCCATGTACTGGTTGAGGGTTAGATGAAAGGACAGGGGAAGCGGAAAGGGACGGGGACGAGGACGAGGAAGGGGAAGGGCCTGGTCTTCTTTGTGAAGTATCACCACGACGCATGTGACCTCCATGTTTATACTAACAAGTTGCAAGGTTAGACAAAAATGTAAACAATTACGAACATGTATTAGGGACACATAATGACGTACGTCGTGAAGCTTACCATTTTGTTATTGAGAGCAAGAGAGAAACTTGACCCCTGAAAAAAAGCAAGCTGTCCGGAAATGTCTACGAGCTAAATTTCTGGTCCTACAACACTATAACAGGGACAACAAATTTTATGATTTACGGTGCACATATCCCTTCTTTAAAATGAATATATCAACTTCAACAAGACAAGGAAATCAGTAAGTTTTGAACTAGTAATTATAAGGCGTTACCCCGAAGGGAGCCATTCCAGAAATTCTCGATGGCCAAGGCCTCAACCTAGGCCAATGAAGGTTTGGAAATAGTTTTCAAACCTAGATATAAATAAAATAATAATGAAACGACTCCGAAACGCAAAAAAAAAAACGCAAATTTCACGGAAAACACTTTCACCATCAGAATAGTTTTTGCCAAAAAAACCCATCTAAACGACTTCGAAACGCCAAAAAAGGACTTGCGTCATAGCCAAAGGTAGTGTTTTTGGATCAGTGGGCCGTTTCCACTTGACCGACCAAATTTTAGCTAATTCCGATCACATTTCACCTCATTCCGACCAAATTTCAAACGAATTTCAACTAAATTTCAACCCAAATTCGATCAAATTTCAGTTCATTCCGATCAAATTTCAACCTAAATCCGACCAAATTTCAACCTAAATCCGAGGAATTTGATTATGTTTCTGTTTCGCCCACGAACAGAACAAAATTCGTGGGCGAAGCAGAAACAGAACCATTCTGTTTCTCCCACGAACAGAATGAAATTTGTGGGCGAAACAGATTGGGTCTGTTTCGCCCACGAACAGAACCAAATTCGTGGGCGAAACAGACCCAATCTGTTTCGCCCAATGTCCAACAGCAGACCCAACAGAGAAACAGAAGCAGAAGCGCAGAAGCAGAAGCAGACCCAAGCAAACAACACAAATAACGCAGACCCAACACAAACAACAGAAGCAAACGTCCAGAAATAACGCCGAAAACCAGACCCAAGCAAACGTACCTCTCGCTTCCCCACAGAAGCAGACCGAACACTCTCGGAGGACGATCCACGTGCTAGGTGTCCTCGCTTCCCAGCGTCCGCCGCCGAAGAACGCCGAGAATCGCCCCGAAGAACGCCAAAGAACGCCAAAGGATGCCGAGAATCGTTCGACCGAGAGAGAGACAGAGACAGAGGCAGAGAAGATGGAGAAGTTCAAGAGAAGATTGGTTCGATCGTGACAGAGAAGAGAAGAAACCCTAATTTCTACCCGCAACCGCACATGAAGACGACGCCGTTTTGTTAATTTCCGCTGAAATTAGCCACGGATTAAAATTCGTGGCTAAAATCCGTGGCAAATTAGCCACGGATTTAAATTCGTGGCTAATTCCGTCGCAAATTAGCCACGAATTTTAATCCGTGGCTAATTTGCCACGACATTAGCCACGAATTTTAATCCGTGGCTAATTTGCCACGGATTTTAGCCACGAATTTTAATTTTGTTGTTGCAAATTCGAATCGAAATATAAAATTAGCGCGGCAAACCCTAATATTTTTAAAATTTGTGGCTAAATCCGTGGCAAATTTGCCACGGATTTAGGCACGAATTTTAAAACAATGAATTTTAGGCGGTTTGGACTTTTTTTAAAATTCGTGGCAAAATCCGTGGTAAATTTGCCACGGATTTTGCCACGAATTTCATGAAAAAATTACTTAGGCATGTTTGTGGGCATTTTTTATGCAATTCGTGGCAAAATCCGTGACAAATTTGCCACAGATTTTGCCACGAATTTCATAAAAAAATGAATTGTAGGCATTTTATGAAATTTGTGGCAAAATCCGTAGCAAATTTGCCACGGATTTTGCCACGGATTGCATAAAAAATATACTTAGGCATGTTTGTGGGCTTTTTTTAAAATTCGTGGCTAAATCCGTGGCAAATTTGCCACGGATTTTGCCACGAATTTCATAAAAAAATGCCCACAATTCATTTTTTAGGAAATTCGTGGCGAATTTGCCACGGATTTTGCCACGAATTTCATAAAATGTCCATAATTCATTTTTTAGGAAGTTCGTGGCAAAATTCGTAGCAAATTTGCCACGACTTTCATAAAATGCCCATAATTCATTTTTTAAGGAAATTCGTGGCAAATTTGCCACGGATTTTGCCACGAATTTCATACAATGCCCACAATTCATTTTTTTACGAAATTCGTGGCTAAATCCATGGCAAATTTGCCACGGATTTTGTCACGAATTTTAAAAAAATGCCCACAATTCATTTTTATGAAATCCGTGGCAAATTTGCCATGGATTTTGCCACGAATTTCCTAAAATGCCCACAATTCATTTTTTATGAAATTCGTGGCAAAGTCCGTGGCAAATTTGCCACGAATTTCATAAAAAATGAATTGTGGGCATTCTAGGAAATTCGTGACAAAATCCGTGGCAAATTTGCCACGAATTTCATAAAAATGCACACAATTCATATTTTTATGAAATTTGTGGCAAAATCCGTGGCAAATTTGCCACGAATTTCATAAAAAATGAATTGTGGGCATTTTTTAAAATTTGTGGCAAATTTGCCACGAATTTCATAAAAAAATTACGTAGGCATGTGTATAGGCATTTTTTTAAAATTCGTAGCAAAATCCGTGGCAAATTTGCACGGCTTTTGCCACGAATTTCATAAGAAAATGTGTGTGGGCATTTTTTATGAATTCGTGGCTAAATCCATTGCAAATTTGCCATGGATTTAGCAACGAATTTCATTTCTACTAGCCTACACACGCCTAATTCATTTTTTTTCCCGACAATAACGTTTCATTAACAATAATAGCAATAATAATAATCAACAACAACAATAATAATAATAATAATAACAACAACAACAACAACAACAACAACAACAATACTAATAATTACGACAACAACAACAATAATAAATATGACAACAACAATAAACTCTTGTCATAAGAATAATAATAATAATTACGACATAATTAGTAAAAAGTCTCAAAAATCTAAATCTTCATATTCACCTTCGTCTTCATCTTGATCTTGATCTTCTTCTTGAGCATCATCGTCGTCGTCGTCATCATCATCATCATCATCATCATCATCATCATCCTCATCATCCTCTGTCTCAAAATCAGATTCCGCAACACCTTCTAAATTTGATTCGCGAATTTCAGTTAGATCTACATCTATCATTGCTCCACATGGATCTCGTAGAGTAAGAATGTTATATTCCTCAGTTTGAACCGCGTTACAAACTTCCTCTTGTTAATATGCTGTATCCTTCCAGTGTTCCTCGATTTTTCTTCGTGCTTTGATTTTACATACAGCCCACCAATCAGCTTTGTCACGTTTCAAATTAGGATATGATGCATAATATACTTGAATTGCTTATTGTGCCAACACAAATGGCTCATATTTCATATACCTTTTCTTGTGATTTATTTCAACCAAATTAAACTTCGTATGCACCTTCATTCCTTTGACGGGGTTGAACCACATGCACTTAAATAACACAACCCGCATTAATGGTCCGGGGTACTCTATCTCGATGATTTCATCCAACAAGCCATAAAAATCATCTTTTGAACTACCACAATTGGATGACCGAACACACATACCACTATTCATTGTGGCTTTTCCCATTCCATATTCTTGAGTGTGAAAATTATACCCGTTTATGAAATATGCTGGCCAAGTTCGTATGCTTGACTATGGACCCCATGATAGATAATATAACAATCTTTGCTCTTCAACTTGATCATGATTACTGTGAACCTAAGATCACACATGCAAAGTCAATAATATATATTTAAATGATGTATAAAATATTGATAACTTGGTTTTGGTCTATAGGCAACTTACATATGTTTTGAACCATGCTGCAAATTGTTCATCGCACAAACGGTCAAACTCATTTGGTAGTAGTCCATACATTGAATTTTGAAAAATCCTATTAACAATTTACATTTATATATTAGTAAATATTTGACACGCAATACATATATTTGCAAATATACACTTACTCGAAGTATGGCTCCACTTCTGGACAGTTTAGTAAAATATATGTATAGGCTGTCTGCCGTTCTTCGCCTGTTAAGCAACGAAACTTACATGCGCCGCTTGGTCGACCGAGATAATTGAAAATAGAGAATGATTTGCAATTGGGATCGATGTGACCCTCATCATTTCTTCCTGCTCTCCGCCTCTTGCACTGCACGTGCGGCTCAAAATAGTATGATGCAAATGTTGTCACTTTTTCCACAATATATGCATTACAAATTGAAGCTTCAACACATGCCTTGTTCTTCACTTTTTTCTTCAAATAATATAAGAACCTTGTTGCAATAGAAAGAAGTTTATCAGAACATAATATATAATAAAGTATTTTGAAATTTATTTTGAAAAAATTTTCACCTCTCAAATGGATACATCCATCGAAATTGGACGGGACCTGCAACTTTGGCCTCATAAGGCAAGTGAACTAAGAGATGCTCCATTAAATCAAAAAACGATGGAGGAAATATCATTTCTAAGTTGCAAAGAATAATTGGAATGTCTCTCTCCAGTTTCTCCATGTGTGATGCTTTTAACACTGTTGAGCAAATATCATGAAGGAAATTACTTAACTCTGTAATGGCGCCCCATACAAAGTTTGGTAGAAGTTCCTTGAAAGCTATTGGAATTAGTCTTTCCATAAATATGTGACAATCATGACTCTTTAATCCTGTCAACTTGCATTCGTTCAAATCAACACATCTCCCGATGTTCGAAGCATATCCATCAGGAAACCGTACAGATTTCAACCATTGACAAACGACTCGTCTCTGCTCCTTATCCAATGTATAAACTGCTTTTGGTTTTGATCCCCTGCTTGCTTGCATCCACATCTAATGTTGGCCGATCACAAATATCTCTCATATCTTTTCTTGCATTCAAGTTGTCTTTTGTTTTTCCTGTGACATCCATCACAGTATTTATGACATTGTCGAAAACATTCTTTTCAATGTGCATGACGTCAAGATTATGATGAATAAGATGGGCTTTCCAATATAGTAGATCCCAAAATATACTGCGTTTAGTCCACTTATGTGTACTTCCGTACGCACTAGTTATGCCATAAGGGTTTTCAACAACAGTTGGAAAGTCCTGCACTCGCTCCCATATTTGATCACCGGTCAACTTCAATGGTGGAGGAGTTCTTTCAATCCTATTCCTGATGAACTCTTTTTTATTCCTTCTGAATGTATGATTCATCGGTAAAAATTGTTTGTGACCGTCAAAATAGCTGAGCTTCTTACCATGTCTTAATATGAATGACTTCGATCTCTCCAAACATATCTGACATTCTAAGATCCCAGCTGTACTCCATCTAGATAACATTCCATATGCTGGAAAGTCATTTATCGTCCACAGAAAAGCAGCATTCATTACAAATGTTTGATTAGTAGAAACATCATACCTAACGACACCTTTATTCCATAGCCGTTGTAACTCTTCAATCAATGGTTGCATATAAACATCTATCAACTTTTTCGAATTTTGCGGGCCAGTCACGATCAATGTCAAAAACATATAAGGTGTCTTCATGCACATATCGGGTAGAAGATTGTACGGAGTTAAGATAACTGGCCAACATGAATAACTTTTTCCTGATTTTCCAAATGGGGCAAATCCATCAGCACAGAAATCTAACCTGATGTTTCGAGGCTCTATCGCAAACTCAGGGTATGTTCTATCAAAATGTTTCAATGCCTCTGCATCTGAAGGATGACACATTAGACCCTCTTCTGTTTCATGATTTGCATGCCAAGTCATGTGTTCAGCAGTGGCTTGAGACGCATAAAGCCTTTGCAATATGGGGATTAAGGGCAGATAAAACATTTGCTTGCATGGTCTACGCTTCTGATTGTGACCCTGCCTTCTGTTAATCTTGTACCTAGGTTGGCTATAGAATTTGCAAGATTCTGCATTTTCATCATCTCTCCAATATAACATACAACCTCTACTACATACATCAATCCTTTCAACTGGAAGACCTAAGTTATCCACTAACTTCTTTATATCGTAAAAACCACTTGGCATGATGTTATCACGAGGCATTGTTTCTCGCATTACTTCAACGAAAGAGTTAAAGCAATTCTCAGACACATTATGCTCTGCCTTGATATTTAACAATCTTGTTGTCACTGATAACTGAGTATGGTTATCACAACATGCCCATAAAGGTTCATCTGCTGCTTTCAATACTTCCCAGAACTGATTAGATATAAACGTTTCATTACACACATTCTCATCAAAACCTGTTACTCCTATCTCTTCTAATTGTTCTAGTGTAGGAGTCAAACTAGTACTTGTATGATTCGAATCTGAAATCACATTCTGACCAGCTGCATCAATCATCATCCTCTGGTATGGGTTCAATTGGTCATAATAGCTACATTCTTCCCTAACTGAAAATTGGTCATTTATTCGATATCCTTCATCAGATATAAATGGTTCACCATGACAAGTCCAATTATAGTAGTTCGGAGTAAACCCAAATCTACAAAGATGTTCTCTAACTTTATCACACACATGAAATTTACTATTACTGCACTTGTTACACGGATACCGTAATTTATTTCCATCCATCAACTCATATTTACTACTAGCAAAGTCCAAAAATAGTTCCAACCCAGTACGAAACTCATCGGTCAATCCTCGACGTCCAGGTAAGTTCTTATTATACATCCAAGCCTTGTCTCTTTGCATTGTGTCTATATAAAAATAACAAAATCTCGTAAAATATTAAAACCATAAAATTTTCTTAATTAAAACCATAAAATTCTAAAAATTAAAATTTTATTTTTGACGAAACAATTACTTTGAAATTGAAAAAAATAAAACAATTATCATGTCAAGAAGACTTACCCAAGTATTTGACTGAAATCTTTGTAGTAGAAAGTACTCAATTTGATGAGAATTGCAACGTTCACTTCATCTGCGAGACTTTCAAATGGACACGTACCTACAAAAAAAAAATGACTTCAGATTTTTTTTTAAAAATAATTTTTTTTTCGAATTTTTTTTTCCTACATATTTTCTCTAACGTTCACTTTATTTATTTTTTTAAAAAATAATTCTCGCCGGTCCGGCGACCGGCTGACGCCGACGAGTTGGACCTCGCCGGCTATGGGCGAGGTCACCTCGCCGGCCATGGCCGAGGTCAAGCGGCGGCCTCGCCATGGCCGCTGTTGGACCTCGCGGCGAGGTCCAGCGATGGCCATGGCCGCTTGACCTCGCTGCCCAGATCTAGGCGCCGTTGGACTCGCCCAGATCTGGGCGAGGCCGAGCGGCCATGGCCGCCGCTTGACCTCGCTGCGACGGCGAGGTCCAACGGCGGCCATGGCGAGGCCGCCACTCGACCTCGCCTCCCAGATCTGGGAGCTGTTGGACCTCGCCGCGAGGTCCAACGGCGGCCATGGCGAGGCCACCGCTCGACCTCGCTGCCCAGATCTGGCCACCGTTGGACCTCTGCGTCGAGGTCTAGCGGTGGCGGCCATAGCCAGGTCGCTCGGCCTCGCCCAGATCTGGGCGAGGTCCAGCGGCCTCGCCCATGGCCGGCGAGGTCTCGCTGGTCGCCGGACCGGCGACCGGAGAAGAAGTTAGGAAAAAAAAATCAATAAATTAAAAAAAATTCGAAGCTAGCAATGAATAATTTTGCAACGAACCGTCTTCGTCTCAAATTAGCCACGCCACTTACCGGTAGAAAAGCTTTACCGAGACTGATTTGCGCGCGTGCAGAGAGTTTTATCGAGAGAAATGAAAGAGGGAGAGGAAGGGAGAACAGCGAAGAGGGATATGAGGAATTAGCAGGGAGAGAGAGAAATTGGGTCTACAAGTAGCGAGGGGGACAATTAGCGACGGATCTATTTTTCGTCGCAAATTAGCGACGAATTTCTTTTTCGTTGCAAATTACGTCGCAAAATTAGCGACGAAAAAAAATAAGTCACTAACTCCGTCGCAAATTAGCAACGAATAATTTTTCGTCGCAAATTCCGTTGCAAATTAGCGACGGATTTTTTTCGTGGCAAATTCCGTCGCAAATTAGCGACGACAAATTTTTTCGTCGCTACATCCGTCGCAAATTAGCCACGAATTTTTTTTCGTGGCAAATTCCGTCGCAAATTAGCCACGAATTTTTTTTCGCGGCAAATTCTGTCATAAATTAGCGGCGACCTTTTTTTTCGTCGCAAATTAGTAACGGAAAAATATTCGTCGCTAATTCCGTCGCAAATTAGCCACGAATTTTTTTTCGTGGCAAATTCCGTCGCAAATTAGCCATGGATTTTTTTCCGTCGCAAAATTCGTCGCAAATTAGCGACGAAAAATTATTCGTCGCTAATTTCCGTGGCTAAATCCTTGTTTTTTTGTAGTGTTGGGATTAAGTTAGATTGACCTACTTAATACTTTTGAATTGGTTAGTTGATGTTTATTAACTTAGTTTGAATGTTCAACCTGATTGTGATCAAGTTTTGATGATGGCATGTTGAGATATTGTGTTTGCTTGACTTAAATCAATAAGTACTTTCATTTGTAAATAGTGTTTGATCGACTTCCCAAAAGGTTTGATCATATATTAGATGAGAAAAGTGTATAAATGTGGAATTTAGACTTGGAAATGATATTCACGTGATTCTGATGAAGTGTTGGCTGACTAATAGTTTTACCGTTTTTATCATTTAACTGATTTCTGACCAAATTTCAAGTTTTTGTTAGTCATCGATTTCTATAAAGTTAGCAATTTTTTATCAAACTGTCGATCTTCTTACTAGTTTTGCCAATTCTGACCTTTTTGCTGATTTTAATCATCTAACAAATTTTCTAACTAAATCGATTCCTGACCATCTTACCATTTATTAACCAATTGGCTGATATTCCAAAGTTATCGCTTTCTAAGTACCAATTCCAAGTTATCGATCTTTCTTTAGGTGCCTGTTACGACTAGTGCTATCACCTAGAGGGGGGTGAATAGGTGATTTTACCAAATTGGATGATTTAAACGTGCAAAATGAATATAGTCGAGGTCAACAACTCGTATAATCAATATCAGATGGATGCGTATGACAAACTTATATATAAGTTGTCGCCAGATGATTGCGTCTGATGACTAAGACGATGTTTTGACAAACTCATTTGATAGATATATATGCAGTATAATCTCAGCAATAATAAATGAAAGTTTAGGGATAGAGAATACTGCACACAGATCTTTATAATGGTTCGGCTTTGTTAAGCCTATGTCCACTCTCCATGCTGGTAGCCTGTTGACTGTGTTTCACTATTGAATCACCAAAATATTACGAGAGCAGTGCTTCTCAGATGATAGACTACACTATCACGTACACTCTTCACTCAAGTAATTTTCTTTCTGAAATCACAATGTGGAATACAGTAATCACAAGTGTGTAAGATCGAAGCTTTATGAAGACTTTGGAATTCTCGATTCTAGTTCTTATTCTTGTACGACATTTGCACTCCTTTTATACTCCTCTACTTCCAATCTATCTGTTGGACAGTTTTCAGAGAATTGATCTCCAAATCAACCCGTTGGAGAAACTTCCCAAAAGAAAATACATAACCGTTAGAAGAAGAACCATTATCTCCAAGTGATTTGATCGTCCATATAATCAAATCAAGGTTTCCATAAATGTAGTTCTTCGTGTTTAAGGAACAATCTTGTGATTACCAATTAGGATATCTTGATATATCAATTTGATTGTCCTATATAAACTTGTCAAAAATAACACTTATTGAATCTGACAAGTAATTATGAGTCTGATAACAAAGTCCTTTCATCGACTAAGTCTTATGACTCAGTATTTACCTGCATCAAATAACTTAAGTGTAATTGTGGTCAATAAATGGATTGTTTTGTCTTTCTTCAAAACTAATTGGGGATTTTCCTCAACATTCTCCCCCTTTTGATGATGACAAAACTATCCATATGCTTTAAAAAATATTTTTGTGAACAAAAATAGTCTATTTAGAGGATATGACATTTAAAGCATATAAAACAATGTTAATTTCTGAAACAAGCATAATATTCCAATATATCAGTTCATTCTGCCGCTCACGCCACAATCGTATTCATAATCTTTATAATACTTCTCCC